GGGGTGGATAAATCGTATAATGGAAACGTTAATGTCGAGCGACGGTGGCACGGTCGCGTGAAACTCATCCGATAATACAAGGACGGCCTTTACCTTTCCGTGTCTCCTTTCAAGGAGCGCTTTAATTCGCGATAAGTACGCGAGGGGGAGTTTAACCGGTGGCGTGACCAGATATACGAGTTAACTGCCTACCTTGCCGGACAACCGGACTATATAGGATAAGATAACGACTCCTCCGTACGTGTCCCTCGCCCTCCTCTCTTCGCCCTCGCAGTCGATGAACGATCGAGCCGGTTCGCGAGTTCTCGCCACGCTTCGATCACCTCGAATCCAATTAAATTGGAATGGAACCGCGCAACCTTCTCCCTTTCTTCGCCTCGTCGATTGTCGCCGAACGTCGAAAACGAATTGCACCGCCGAGGCACGCGAGAAAAGGATGAATCGTCCCCAAAGAGAGAAAGAGTTAAATTCTGGCTGGTTGTAGAACCAGCTTTTAACGGTAAGCCTTTTTTGAAGCGAGTTACATTCCTGAAGTAAAAAACCCTGTCTGAAGAAGAATCGTATCTTTGTATCGCGCTTCTCTCTCTCTCTCTCTCTCTCTCTCTCTCTCTCTTCATTTTCCCCTCCGTGCCGTGAGAATATCGTGGCGCGATTACGGGAAATCGGACGGAAAGAGGATGCGTTTCCGGCCGAGGAAACTCTTTTTTCCCCACGTTTCGCCGATTAATCCTCCGCTCGTTCCTCCTTCAATCGGATAAATTGACTTTTACGATCTCTCGTAAAGGTATTCGAGGGCGGTGATGCATCTCCGCCGACGGAACGCAGAAAAGAAGGAACGAACAAAAACGGCGTGCATGGATGAACGGCGTGTGCGTCGCTTCGTCTTCGAAAAAATGGGAAACGAGAGAGAGAGAGAGAGAGAGAGAGAAAAGTAGGGTATTTAACATTCGACGCGAACGAGTTCGAGCATCTGGAATAGAACTCGTTATACTCGTCGGGGCAAGCGAATGAAAATGATATACTTCGCGCGAATCTTACTTTCCACGATACGAGCCTTACTTTCCCCGTCCAACGCGGGAAATTTCATCGAAATACAATAATTTCGTTTAATTTCGCTTAATTTTAGATGGATTTTTCGCTAGAGAGAAATCGACGAAAATTAGCGATTCTTTGCCGATTTAATCACGATCCTCCCGGAGGAGGATATCGAATCGTCGTTGCGGGAAGAGAGAGAGAGAGAGAGAGATGAAATCTCGTTACGTTGATTCGCGGGGAGAATTAACGGAGAGAATCGCTGGTAATCGGCGAATTTCAAGGTGGATCGTTCGTGGCAAAGACGAGAGAGTAAATTTCGCGGTTCGTTTTCGCCGGCCGGGGTGGACGACGGAGGAGGGGCGGATGGGCAGGTCGAGGAAAGAGAGGAGANGTCGGGGGGGGAGGGAGCTCTCGAATTTCGCGTTTGGAGAAGGTAGCGATGTCCCTGGCCGGAGGTCGGAGAGAGCGGAGGACTTGGAGTGGCTATTCAAAGCCGAACAGGCGTGCAATTAATTCCTGAGCGTGGAGAAAGCGAATCGAGACGGCCGATAGGGTGGCACTTGTGAACCGCGTCACGATCGTTGGCCCAAAAGCTGAGTAGAGCCGAGGTCCGGGGAACTCGAACCCCGGCTTGTCTCCGAAAACGCCGCGGGCACTCTAATTCAATGGACGATTCCGCTACGTACACCGTAAGTGACGTTATTGTCGTCCCGCTACGAACGTCCCCTCCCCTCCGCCGGACCCAGCAATACCCGAAACGAGACGTCAAACCACGATTCTATGCGCCCCATTATCGATTCGTGCCGAGTACTCCCCGCGATTCGTTCGAAAATTAATTTAACCTACGTCCAGGCACGGATATCAAATTTAAAGCCCGATCAAATTTCCTTGACCAAACGTCGTCCGAACGTTCCTCTTTCTCCCCGCTTTTCTCTCTCTCTCTGTCCGCTCTGTGTCCGGATCTGGTGTCGGTTCCTCGCAGAGAAACGATTCCGCGTCGATCGCTCCAATCGGATATATATTTCTCGTCGAAACTGCCGTTCCGCACGAGTATCCTCCCTAATATACGTACGTTTCGTCATCCGTACAAGGGATCATTCGTAGCGATGTTCGCGTTATTTAAATTACAACTTGAATACAACGATGTGATAAATATCTTTCAATCGTATCGATCGAGCGTGAGAACGGTTATAACGAGTGAACGAAAACGTGTAGTTTTAAGGGGAATAAAAAAATAACGAAAGATTGAAAGAATACGTAATACAACCAATAATATAGGAATGTAATTTTAGCAATAAAAAATTTATCCGACTTAGCGGCTGAAAAGATAGGTGGAAAGGAATTGTCTTGAATCGAAACGAAGAAAGTAATTGCTCTATTATTCCTATTATCGCACACGAAGGACGAGAGGGGCGATCTTGGATTTACCATCGCACTTGCAACGCGACGCGTTTCGGCGGAGGGGAAGAGTGGGGGTGATGATAATTCGGAATTTCGTATTTAAAACACGTATTCGCGCGTCGAGTTTTTCGCGTTCGGTCGTCGTGGCGCGCCGCGATTAAAGAGTCGTTCCACGTTTACGTAATTTGCACGCGGAACTGACGCGGTTGGCATTTCCAAGTCCATTAAGATCATAGCCCGGGTAATTAGAAGGGCGATGTATCTTGGTTCTCGCGAGAGCGGGTGGATTAAGCGGTACGGGCGCGGAACAGATTAACCACGCGGAACGCTTCTTTCTGGGACGGTGGGTAACTTATAAGCCGACCACGTNNCCACGTAACCAGTCACCGTCCCCCCTCCCTACAGTAGTACTCTCTCGTGAAAAGAGTCGAGCCTCGAAATCACGTTGGAACGTACGAAAAATTGCGTCCCCCTCTTCGAGGAAATAATTCAAGCAAACTCGCCTCGCCCGGTCTCTCTCTTTGCATTGGTGGCGCAACGATGCATTACGAAACGGGTATATTTTACGATCCGGAGGAAAGGTCGCCCCTCCCCGCTATGGCCACGCGTAGCCACCCATCCCCACCCACCGTCACCGTCGTAAAATATCGCGCGAGCTTAATTAAACGCAAACCCCGCTTTCGAACAACGAGCACCGACCGCGAAATTTCCCCTTCCCTTCCTTTAGCGCCGATGGTACGCGAACTCGCCGCTAGTTGTACTCGTCGCGCTGTTACGTCGATTCGAAGGAAACGAAGGTGTCGCAT